AAACAGGGCAAGTCCCTTGCCAGTGATAATTAGCAAGGTCGCAAACACTGGCCCATGAGCTACAAGGAAAGGGCAGAGAACAAAGACTGGACTCTAACCTCCCTTGCCAGTCTGCTTTCTGCCATGGGTTCAGGTCCTTTCCCCACTAAAGTCTTCTGGGGGAAATCCCACTCCCTGAAAAGGCCATACATATCGAAACTCATTCAGGTCCTCACTGATAATCAAGATCTTATAACTGTGCCTGGGGACCCCAAACGGGTGCCACAGTTCTAGAATGCAGCCAAAGGGAAGAAGTCTGGCCACTTTTGGAAAGTTCCAAAGCTCCTTGCAGGAAAGTCAGATGGCTGGCTCTGTTTAGCAGGAAAAAAGGGGCAGCAACCCAGAGAGAGAAACACAAAAGTGGAAACAGTGAGAGACAGATCTCAAGGAACAATGAGACAGACAAAAACTTAGGGACAAAAAGATAGACAGACAGATGCTTCTTGGCTTATGTTGGAGTTATGTCCCAATAAACCCATCATAAATTGAAAATATCATAAGTCAAAAATGCGTTTAGTACACCTATCACTAGCCCGGGAAAAGATTAAAATTCAAAATTTGAAGTATGGTTTCTACTGAATGCGTATCCTTTTCCCACCATTGTAAAGTCAAAAAAGTGAACCATCATAAGTTGGGGACCATCTGTATTGAGAGAGAAAGGGAGAAACACACACACACACACATACACACACACACACAGACACACACAGAGTTATTGAAGGGGGAAATTCAAAGAGACAAAGTGGCTGAGACAAAATCTGAAACAGACAGAAAGACCAGAGAAATTTCTGGATGCCTACTTGTTCACTGCTAGGATCACTCGGGTACTTCCTTCTTCTGCCCTCAATTCCCACCACAATAACTCAGTGATACTTTCCTACTCACCACTGCCTAGTCCCTCAATAATACAAGTTCCTCCCCATCCTTATCCCATCTTGCCATCATTCTCTAACTTGGCTGGTTCCCACTCCTCTCCACTCCAAGTCTGCTTACGATTCCACCTTTCTCTCAAACTGCTGCTAGCTCACACCCAATCAAAGGAACTCTCAAGATCTTGCCTCCTGGCTGGGTGCAGTGGCTCACGTCTGTAATCCTAGCACTCTGGGAGGCTGAAGCAGGAGGATCGCTTGAGGTCAGGAGTTCGAGACCAGCCTGAGCAAGAGTGGGAGCTCCATCTCTACTAAAAAATAGAGAAAATTAGCAGGGCATGGTGGTGCGTGCCTGTAGTCCCAGGTGCTCAGGAGGCTGAGGCAGGAGGATTGCCTGAGCCCAGGAGTTTGAGGTTGCTGGGAGCTAGGCTGACACCATGGCACTCCAGCCCAGGTGACAGAGCAAGACTTTGTCTCAAGAAAAAAAAAAAGATCTGGCCTCCTGCAGTCTCTTCTCCTCGTCATTCCTCTGTCCTTTTGTTTGTCCACATCCTTATTCTGGCTGAGCTGAGAGCAAAGAGCCAGAATTGGGGCCAGGATAGCATGGGTCCAAGAAGTCAAGTGGCCAGAATGAGCTGTGGGAGAAATATAGAGGGGTCAGACGATAGTAGAGGAAGAGCCAGAGAGAGGGCCTGAAGGATGGGACAGGCTGGGAGACAAAGGCAGAGGGAATTGTGGGAGTCTTGAGCGTGTGACTAAGACCCCATGGGTGCAATTGTTGGATTTGTGTACGTACGAACAATGCTTAGAACCGGATAACTTCAGGGTCAGAAAATGGGCTCAAGGGAGGGAGAAGATAGAGTAAGAGCTTTGTGAAGGTTTGAGACAAGGAGGCATGGATTTGGGGCTAGGACGGACACGTAAGGCTGGGAAGCTGGGCTCTAGGGATCCTTGCTTGCTAGAGATCAACCAGACTCTTGGCTAACTGAGACAAACCAAAATCATAGGATCACATCAGGATTATGAGTTGTTCAAGATGTTCTGCCCCTACCCCTGCTCCTGGACAGAGGTTGTACCTGGATATTATTAGCAGGTAAAAGCAGGTCCAGAGAACAAGGAGCCCTGGCTGCCCTTCTCCCTACCTCTCATGATTTTCTCTCAGGCCTACCTTCATTTTATCCTTTTTTTTTGAGACAAGTTCTCACTCAGTTGCCTGGGATACAGTGCAATGGCATCATCAGAGCTCACTGAAATCTCAAACTCCTGGGCTTAAGCGATCTTCCTGCTTCAGCCTCCCAAGTAGCTGGGACAACAGGTATGTCACCACGCCCAGCTAATTTTTCTAATTTTTGTAGAGATGGGGTCTTGCTCTTGCTCAGGTTGGTCTTGAATTCCTGACCTCAAGCGATCCTCCCACCTTGGCCTCCCAGAGTGCTGGCATGACAGGCATGAGCCACCACACTTGGCCCCTTCACTTTATCTGAATGCCCTTTCAGTTTGTGTATCATTGACAGGGTCATTATAGACCATTTCAGATGCTGTCCTGGGTGTAAAGTATGTGCCATACAAATGTAAACAGCCTAGTTTTCTTTCTTCTCTCTCTCTCTCTCTCTCTCTCTGGTTTTTCTGCTTCCTCCAAAATATGGGCTTAGTCCAAACTAACCAAAGGAGGTAGGTGTCCTGGGCAGTTCCTCTCCTGGGGTCCAGGGTTGGCTCAGCAATGGGTAGATGCTTCTAGCTACTAGGCAGAACTGGAGAGGGAACAGCCAAGGAGTATGTGAAATGTCTAAGTGAGATGCCTACTGTAAAGGACTCAGAATCAGAGTGGAAGCTGGGAGGAAAAAAAAAAAAAGCTGGGAGAGAGGAGCTGAAAGGCCCCTGGGGTGGGGAGTTCCCATTTCTGTCCAGGAGAGGCAGAAAATAAGAGTCTGACAGAGCAGCAAAGACTTGGGCAAAAGCAAGAGCCTCAAATGGACATATAGGCCAATAAGCAAAACCACCCCACCCTCCAGGCAGGCCCTTGCCTAATCCTAGGAGTGTGACAGATCTGAATCCAGCTGTTGGGAGGTTAGCCAGTGATGAGCCTTGGGGAGAAGACTAACTTTCAGATTTCAGCCAAGGATGGTAGAAGTTTGTAATTTTTTAGAGATTTTTACCATGATCTTGGATCCTGCTTGTCATACTCAGGGAATGCTATAGTTGGGAGGGCAGAGACTTTCAAAGCTATTGTTGAGGCTCAGGTTTAAGGTACAGGTGGGGAACGGGTCCTGGTAACTTTCCGGTCTCCCTAGCTGTACCTTTCTGCTCATGCCCTCCCCATGCTGTTTTCTCTGAGGACCAAGAGTTGGGATCAGGACAGGAAAGCCCTGCGATGCTATCACACACCCCCACTGCAGCCCTGACCACTCTCTATGGCCTCAGTTTCTTGAGTATGACGGGGAGCAGGTTGATGTGAGAAACCAAAGGCAAAAAGTAGCAGTCACCATTCCCACTTACAGCCCAGCTCCAAAGGACACAGATCCTGTTTCTATCCCACCCCAGCTGTGCTGGGAGTAGAAACGTGTCTGCATTTCCTCCTCCTACAGCTGAAAATAGTCTGCTTGGATCTGAGCCTCTTCATTCTTCACTAGGTCCTGGGGGGATGGAGTTAAGATCAGGAACCTGCGGGAGAGCGAGGGGGCCTAGGCCTCTTCCACACTAATGGACAGTCTCCCATTCAACATCTTCCTACATGATGCAACTTTACAGGGCAAAAACTAAAATACAAGGGAGCAAAATAAGTTTCAAAATTAAAAAA